CGAGAGGGACTACTAACAATCAATAAAATAAATATAATTCGGTGAAACATGTACAGAGACAATAATTTTCATTCACGAAGAGAAGTATTGAGAGTAAAGTGTCTTTGAAAATCATGAGTCAGGTAAGCATAAGCTTATTTATGTTTTAAGCCGGCTTCCCGGTGTTTGCTCTTTTTCAAGATGAACTCGAGGCAAGAAAATCGCTCAGACCTTTCTGTTTACAGCCAAAATCATAAGTAAATAATATTCGGAACATTTTCTTTGAATTTGCGGTCAAAAAATGTCTAAAGGCTTTTTAAACCTGATACTATTGTAGGTTAGATCATTGCTCGTGTGTAAACTTAAGCCGCATAAACCATACGCTCGACTTCAGGAAACCGAAAAAAAAGAACACATCAAAGACAACAATTTCTCAGGCTTACCAGTCGAGATGCTGCTTCTGAAGGTCATCAAGTGTTCCAGAATTTTCAACCCTCTTACGCCTCAAACAAGGGCAAGTGAGTAAGCTCATTTTTGAAAACGATGCCATCCGAAATCGGATTTCCAATGACTTTGACAAGCGGTGCATTTGTCAACAAAAAGCGTAATAAACAAACCAGCCACGAATTACAGAACAATCTTGATAGCAGCTGTATATCATTTTGTACACCAAGTAAAAAAAGCCAGTTTAAAACATCACGAGATGACACAAAACTCTGTAAGCTCCAGCTATCAGTAAGCAAGTTTCCAGACGCTGCATAAATTTTCCGCATGAACTCACCTGTCAAATTTTGACCAATCAGAACATAAAAATTGGACGTAGAGCGTGATCAACGCGTGACAGTTAGAAGAGTCAAAAGTGATTGCCTTCCCCGCATGTAAATGTAAAAGCCGGTTGAATTTTCTCGTCCGAAGTCAGTTCGAAATCAACATTTTAAAAGTGCGGCTCATGAACTCGACTTATTTCATATGCTTTTTAAAAAAATTGAACTTGAGCCTGCAGCAACCTGTCAGCGGATACGTCAAAAAAACACTCGAACTCAGTGGGTCGATACCTGAGCCCGAGATAGGGTCAGGCGATACTGGTCAGCAGAAACACTATTTTGACAGCTGTCAATTAATCAATACATGGATGTACAATATCAGGTTGCAGGCTCCCACACTAGCTAGAAAGTGTGAGATTAAACATTGGTATACCTGTGGTGCGGACGGACGGAAGGTCGGGTGGTCGGTGTATGGGCACGTGATTGCCAAATTTTCTAAGATGGATCGATTTACTAAGCTATGGGACTTCGAACTGAGCCCGTGATCAAATAAAATATCAGCGCAAAACTTTAAACACTTCGTGACCTCAATGGATAGACTAATGAGCCAGCGATACACTCAGGTGATGATGGTCAGCGCATACTCTAGTTTGACAGCTGTCAATTAACCTGCATTAGAATGGCGAATATTCGAATTAAAAGACTAGGAGTGTGAGTAAGACATATCCGTCCGGCATGTATTGGAAATTGCCAGATCGTGTACCTGAGCGAACCTGAGCCCACGTTATTAGTTTTCTAATAGTGGTCTGCACATGTCCCATTTTGACAGCTGTCAATTGACCTTAATTTGGCTTGCCAATATATCTTTAAACGACTGAGCCTTGCTCGGCGTAATTTTGTTTTTATGTTGAAGTGGTAAGTGAGACATATTATATCCGCTTATATGTAGGGGCAAAACGGCTGGTCTTTCATCTGAGCCCGCGAGATAGTCATGTGATAATTGTCAGCGGATGCCTAATTTTGACAGCTGTCAATCTAATCGTACTCATACGGGTGGCTTACATAACTAAGAGGCTATTCAAGTTGTGCAAGATCCTTTGTGACATTTGACATCGGCTTACATGAAGCGTGTGTACGGGTGGGCGGGCGGGCGGGCGGGCGGGCGTACGCTACGTCATAACCAAATTTTCTCAGATGGGTAGTTTACCAAATTTTCTTACCCATGGTGCTGCGCTCCGCGCGCGCGAGGAGCTCCGCTACTACTGTAGGTTAGATCATTGCTCCTGTATAAACTTAAGCAGCATAAACCATACGCTCGACTCCACGACACCGAAAAAAAAAGACAATAATGATAATAATAATAATAACGAATATTTATACAGGATAGCCCTTCAGTGCAAGAGCACTGTTATCAAAGGGGTCCTGTCATAATAACATAATATGAGGATAAAAACTAAAAAAATATAAGAATGACTACGCAACTAACTAACTACACTATACAAAAAATTGATCTAAAGACTCCCTAAATAGTATCCTACAGCTAATTTGCTTGATTTTTAAAGGTAAAGAATTAAAAGCTGAAGCGCCTAAAAAGTAAAAACTTTTCCGAGCAAAGTCAAGTTTCACTTTCGGCAAAGCAATGGTGGTCCCGCTGTTCCTCGTATTAAAATCGTGGATTAAAAGATTAAAATTATTTTTGAAAGGACTACAAACATTGCCTTTTCAAAAAAAAACTTTTCTCGGGTTTATTACTGCAAGTGATATCAATCAAAGACAATAATTGCTCAGGCTTACCAGTCGAGATGCTGCTTCCTAAGGTCATCAAGTGTTCCAGAATCGCTTGAGACTTTTCAACCCTCTTGCGCCTCAAGCAATGGCAAGTGAGTGAGCTCATTTTTGAAAACGATGCCATCCGAAATCGGATTTCCAATGACTCTGACAAGCGGTGCATTTGTCAACAAAAAGCGCAATGAACAAACCAGCCATGAATTACAGAACAATCTTGATAGCAGCTGTATTTCATTTTGTACACCAAGTAGAAAAAGACAGTTTAAGACATCACAAGATGACACAAAACTCCCGGACAAAACTCTGTCAGCTCCAGCTATCAGTAAGCAAGTTTCCAGACGCTGCATAAATTTTCCGCATGAACTCACCTGTCAAATTTTGACCAATCAGGACATAAGAATTGGACGTAGAGCGTGATCAACGCGTGACAGTGAGAAAAGTCAAAAGCGATTGCCTTCCCTGCATGTAAATGTAAAAGCCGGTTGAATTTTCGCGTCCGAGGTCAGTTCGAAATCAACATTTTAAAAGTGCTGCTCATGAACACGACTTATTTCATATGCATTTTAAAAAAATTTAACTTGAGCCTGCGATCATTTGAAAAGTATCAACTTGTTGGCGGATACCTTCAAAAAAAACACTCGAACTCAGTGGGTCGATACCTGAGCCCGCGATACGGTCAGGAGATACTGGTCAGCAGAAACACTATTTTGACAGCTGTCAATTAATCAAAACATGGATGTACAATATCAGGTTGCAGGCTCCCAAACTAGCTAGAAAGTGTGATATTAAACATTGGTATGCCTGTGGTGCGGACGGACAGAAGGTCGGGTGGTCGGTGTACGGTCACGTGATTGCCGAATTTTCTAGGATGGATAGATTTTCTAAGCCATGGGGCTTCCAATTGAGCCCGTGATCAAATAAAATATCAGCGGAAAACTTCAAACACTACGTGACCTCAATGGATAGAAAAATGAGCCCGCGATACACTCAGGTGATGATGGTCAGCGTATACTCTACTTTGACAGCTGTCAATTAACCTTCATTAGAATGGCGAATATTCGAATTAACAGACTACGAGTGTGAGTAAGACATATCCGTCCGGCATGTAATGGAAAATGCCAGATCGTGTACCTGAGCGAACCTGAGCTCACGCTATTAGTTTTCTGATAGTGGTCTGCACATGTCCCATTTTGACAGCTGTCAATTGACCTTAATTTGGCTTGCCCATATAACTTTAAATGACTGTCAGCCAACTGACAGCCTTGCCCGGCATAGTTTCGTTTTTATGTTGAATTGGTAAGTGTGACATATTGTATCAGGTTATATGGAGGGGCAAAACGACTGGTATTTCATCTGAGACCGCGAGATGGCCATGTGATAATTGTCAGCGGATGTCTGATTTTAACAGCTGTCAATCTAATCGTACTCATACGGATGGTTTACATAACTAAGAGGCTAGTCAAGTTGTGCAAGATCTATTGTGACATTTGACATCGGCTTACATGAATTGTGTGTACGGGTGGGCGTACGCTACGTCATAACCAAATTTTCTCGGATGGATAGTTTACCAAATTTTCTTACCCATGGTGCTCCGCTGCGCGCGCTTCGTGCGCGCGAGAGCTCCGCTAAAACATTGCAGGTAAGACAGCAAGCAAAGAAAGCACCATATGCGTGAAGTCAGCACGAAACAACACAAAAAACAAACAAGAAAAATTAATAAATTTGAAATTTTTTTTATTCGTGTTATGATGACTGGTTCTTTGATTCTTGTCCTGTAGAAGTTAATAGGTAGTACCATTCCTGTTTACTACGATCTCAACAAATTTTTACACACCCTCTACGGCTATTTTTACACGGGACCAGTTTGCTTCTATCAAAAATCTTGCAGGCCATTCCAAAGAAGCCACGACCTCTGCGATCGGTCCGGAATCAGTTCGAACACCCCAATGATTCCTTGCAATAAATAATACTCTTATTCTATTATATCAAATGTTTTCTTCGATATAATGTGAAACCTAGACGAGTACTGTCAGCTTATCTTAAAATCTCTCCGTGGCCATGTCGCGTGACCATGCACTTGGCCCTGTCCTTAAACTTAGGAATATTCCGGACTGTTCACTCAAAGATAAACTAGAGCTTTTGAATAATCGCATTTTGAGATTTATATTTAATGATGTAAATTCTAGTTATGACGAGTTGCTAAAGACGGCTAAGACAACATGTCTGTACAGTGGAAGAAATTACAAAATGCTTATTGTAGTTTTTCAAAGCTTATTTGTCTCTGCGTATCCTAAATATCTTGATAAACTGTTCTCTCTTTGCTGCTCCAAGTATAAGCCAAGTGTAAGCCGATCTTGCGAGCCCTCAGTCTCTTGTTTTGCGGTATATAGAATGTGTGACGAAACTGTAACGCCATCAAAATAACCCATTTTTTCAGAGGTTTTCGACGGGTTTTGATGTTCTAACGACAAACACATCTCCTTTGGACCCTGTGCTAATCGCTTGAGAGTAAGAGGATATGTTGAAGAGCGAGAAAGTTTAAGGTGCTTGTTCCAAAAAGTGGATCTTGTAGTTATGCCTTCAAGAACAGAGGGCTTTGGACTTACAGGACTCGAGGCAATGTCAGCTGGTCTCCCAGTGCTCGTTAGTAGCAATTCTGGTTTTGTAAAAGCACTGCGAAGTGCAGCTTTTGGTTTTTTCATTTGTAATTGACTAAGAGGACCCTGCAATCTGGACCGTAGCCATCCAGAAAATCTGGTCCAAGGATTGCCTAGTCCCTAGGCCTCACTTTTACGCGCGGCCAAAGCGTTTCGGGTCACGTGGTCCATGCGAAAATGTGAGGCCGTTTACCGCCCGTTCGCCTCGGATACGTCACCGAAAAACAAATTGACCGAGAGGGACTGGGAAAACGCCGTACAGGAACTAGGCAAGTCCAAGGACAGAAAAAGTCGACTTGACGAAGCGGTGACCTTGCGTGATTCTTATGGTAGGAAATACGACTGGGCCAAACAGATAAAAGAGTTAGTTGACAAGATGAGCAGCTTGACTTATTGTAGGAATGTCGATTATCTTTTTCTTCAATGATACGTTGTCAGAAAATAACAGAAAAAGGAAAACAGACTAAAATGTTTCCCTGAAATCTAAATAAGATGGCACGTGAATACGTTTTTGTACGTTATGCTGATATTAGGAAAACTGTAATGTTTGTAATTTCTTCAGCTACATTGTTTTCTGCAGCGGAATGGTTTATAGAGAGCGGTCATAGGCTTTATTTACAGCATTTCACATACAGCTGTATATGATTGAAGCCATTCATACGTTATCATCGCAACACCCTGGTTTCAGGAGCCGATTATGTTTTCGTCCATTTTGTTTCAACAGAAGATTATCCAAAGGCACGGAGCTCCTTAGAAACAAAGCGCGAGGCTTCTCAGAGGGCGGAAGGCGTGACTGAGGACCACGAAGGTACATGTTCGTGCACTTTGTAATAAATGTACCTCCTGTTGTCTATGAAGGAGTGTTCATATGAATCACTAAAATAAATTGAATTTAGATGACTCGGAAAAACTTAGCCTATTGGCAGATAAACACCTCTACACAATTCTCTTACACTCGTGTTATTCAAGTTCCCGGATGTACAGTCACACGGTTGGCAGACCAGCATAGACTCTGCTTTCACACCTAGAAAAGTGCTTCTTTTTTACCAAATGAGCCTGCCAAAAAAAAAACATGCACGCATGAGAGAATCATGAGGGACATTTCACTGATCTTTAACGAACTTAGAGTTTCTCCTTTTTGATTTATTTGCAATAATTATAAGTAGAGAAAATTGGGGAATTCAACAATGACAAATTCCCCACCTGTTGATGAAAAATACCCCTCTCTAGGAGATACAACGTGATAAATGCCTGACAAGCGTCCTTGATGGCCTGTGTACAGTCGCCCCCCTCACTTCAGAAACTCGGGGAGAGACTTCTTTGATTTCTCTCGCAGATTTCTTCCGAGGGGAGGCGGGGCGTCTGTACATACGCTACCTTGGAGGAATGGGCGCACTTGGAAGTGACTGAACCTTAACTTCCATTGAGATTATCCTAATTGTAGCCAATTGTTTGGCATGTTTCCACAGAGTCTTCTATGGAAATTGACAACAAGCTAAGAAAAAACCCTAGTGTTAACAAGCATCTCAATTCAGAGGCGTCCCTTGATAGTGACTGTGAAAAGAAAGCTGGTCCTGCATCAGGAAGTCAAACGGAAATATCCATAAATGAAGTTTCCGAGTCACAGAATAGACATAAGCGCAAAAAGTCAGAATCTGATTGCGATCCAGGTATGGGCTAATGTAATTTGCTTTCTTGTTTTTGCCCACTAGTACATCTTAAGGGTCGGTTTTCTCAGAGGCGCTTTTTCCCTTCAAGATTTGTTACCGTTTACACCGTGGCTGTTCAATACTTTGTTCATTGCAGCTGGTAGCTAAAATTCAGTACCAGATTTTACCTTGGGCTGGCGAATACAAAAATATGAGAACCAGATTTTATAGACCCTGAAACGATGAAGAATGAAGTAAAGTTACAAGAATAACAACAAATTTACTTTATTTCAGTATTTACGTCGCCAGTAGCTTGCTTGGTATCAATGACCCTGATAAGATCTACAGAGACCTGTGTTGCTTACCATTTACAAAAACCACCCAGATGGAAATCTTGTGCATAAACATAAAGCTATAAAATTTGACGTGGTGGAAGAACGGATCGCTACGACGTATATCCAAACCCGCTGGACAGACTAATTAAAAAGTGTGGAAAATTGCATCACCTCAAATCATAGCCCATATTTTCTGAAGCTTCCCAAATGGAATTTTCTAACCAGAATTTCCTGTTTTCGCATGTAAATGTTTAGTACGCCTGGTGACTTAAAAAAATGCTATATTCGGATTGTGGCATTTTGTTTCTTCACTAACTGCACACACTCTGATCTGGTTACTTCTACCAAATGCGGACATATTTATCCCATGATTGCTTTCTAGCACATGGCTGACTCAGGTTGTTAGAGCTCTACATTAGAGGGACTAACTAGCGGTTGCAAATTTTAAGTATGATGCTGCGAACAGATGCTGGGTAGTAAAACAACATCAATTGACTCTGAAGATGGCTACGGCACAGGTTGTCGAAACGTCAGTCACTGTCAACAGCAACAGTCCTATTCACGGACTAGGTTCACCCGGACGATCATACCCAACCTACTTATGAAATAATTCCTGGGTTTAAACCTTTCACGAAACAACATCTGATAGACTATGAACTGACAATACCGTCACATTTTGCTTATTACGGACTATTTTATTGGGCCAATTAATATTTGTGAGTGAAAGGACTATGAGGGTCCCTACAATCACTGTTTCTTTGTGATTTGGGTTTTTGAAACTGTTTGCGCGCTTCACAATGTGCGAAACTAAGGGCAATGAATGATTTTCCAGTAATGTGAGACTTAGTTATGCGCACAGGATTATGGGATCGCCAAGGGGGCAAACATTGCAAATCGCTACAAAGAAATGTATGGCTTGGAGCTGTTTCTCCGTTAAAAGCAGTGTCTTTGGACAGAGAATGCCGCATTTTGCCGTGATTTTATGAGAAGCGGAGGTGTCTAATGTTGGTGTTTTGAAATTGTAATTTTTTTTGGGATCAATGCTATGAAATCTATCGATAAACACTCCTTGCGTAAGGTCGACTGTGAAATTTACTGAATGGTCTCGAAATATATAGTACTAACTTAGGTATAAATGAGCGGGGAATGCGGACTCATTTAAGCCTTTCCAGTTGTACTTACATGTGCTCATATTTACAATGAGTATAATTACGCTCCGCTCGGCGGCGATCACAATGCTGTGCCGGTTTGTGACAACGATCGAAGGTAAGCTTATGTATTGTCGAATTTGATATGTATTAACTTTAAAAACAAAAACAAATTCCCCACATTAGTATATTGATTTCTTCTCGCCAAAAAAAACACAAGCGAAATGTTTTGTTATGATCCAGAGCACCAATGAGTTCTAATGCCTTTTCCAATCATTTTTAGGGAAGATATAGAATCTCTGAATTTCGCACATGAACTTGGTATTTTATATTTACACACTCTGACTGCTTTTGTATCGGAAATCTTACTCGTTCTACGATTTCTGCCTCGTCTACTAATGGTTAAATACCATGTACTTTCCATGAAATATTTCGTAGATGTCACTTTGTTTATACCAAAGTAAACGAGGATTATTTATTTTTATGGCCACGTACATACCAATGATTGTTGTCTTGTCATAACCCGCACGGCGCTCATCGCGGCCGAGCGTAGTTACACTCGTCGTAAATATCACCACACGTAATTATAACTTAAACGCTTAAATGAGGCAATCCCCCTACGTGTATACCTAAATTTGTACTATATATTTCGAGACCTTTTCTTCATGTAGATCACTGTGTAAATTCAGTAAACATGAATTTCACCCTCAACCTCACGCAAGGAGTGTTTATCGATAGAATTTATCGCATTAATCACACAGAAACTTGAAATTTCAACGCCCCAACATTAGTCACCTCCGTTTCTCATAAAATCGCGGCAAAATGCGGCATTCCCTGTCCAAAGACACCGCTTTTAACGGAGAAACAACTCCACGCCATACATTTCTTTGTAGCGACTCGCAATGTTTGCCCCCTGGCGATCCCAGAATCCTGTGCGCAAAACATGGGTCTCAGATTACTGGAAAATCATTCATTAGAATGACACAACAGGTGTTCTACAATTTACAATTAAGTTATAATAATACCGCTGGACATTTCGGCTAAAAATACTGATCCCGACACAAAAATCGAGATTGTAACACCTAAATAGCGACAGGACACCCAATGAACCACTGGAGACCCCAAACCTAGTGCGCTGCTCGTCTGAAGGCTCGCAGCAAGAATGCTTTTCACCAGGTACAGCTTTGCCCCGATCCACAGCTTTACCCCAAGTCGAAAGAGGGTGTTTTTTGTCTCCAATCCAGAGCTTTTAACATAAAACATTCCCGATGATCGTGTGTTGTATGAATTAATCTTTGACGTTTCTCAAATAAATGCAAGTGGTTCACAGGCTATAGCCACAATTCAAAAAATGACCATTTTAAACGTTTTCTTGGCAGATCTGTTATATGGCCTGGTATATATCTCGATCCACAGCTTTGCCCCAAGTCGAACGAGGGAATGTATTTTATCTCCAATCTTGAGTTTTTAAAATAAAACATCCCGTAGGTAGATGATCGTGTGTTGTATGAATGAATTATGGATTTCTCAAATGAATGCAAGTGGTGCATTATTGTTATCGATACCAACGCGCGTTTAAACTGACACAGACTAATAAAGAAAGTTATTGGTAGCACGTTAGGGAGCATTCATTTTTTAGAAGGGGGGGTGGGCCGGAGGAATCCGTATGAGCATGAATGTAAAATCTCCCAGCCGTCCCTTTATATTTTTTGTTAAAAAATGTGACCCTCCCCGGGAAGCAGTAAAATTTATAGTGACCCACCCCTTCCTCCTGACAAACATGGTTTGTGGCTGGATTGTGCAACGATCCCGTGGTCCTTCACACAGACGCACCTGTTAGCTAGAACGCAACCGCCAATTGCCTACTTTTCTGCCATAACGGTTTACCCTGGCCCCTTCAGGCAACTCATCTTCCTCTTCACTTTCGCTGCTCTTTGAATCGTTTTCGTTTGGTTTTCACAAAGTAAGCTCGGAGAGTATGCAGATCTCTTTATTTCCAATGGGTTTGATTCGCTGGAACTGAGTTTTGAATATGTGGATAAACAACTCCTGGAGGAACAATTCGCTGAAGGAATATGTTTAACAGGCAAACGGCAGCAGCTGCTCTTAGCAATTCGACAGCAAAAAGAAAGTAAACCACCTCGCCAAACAGAGATGAGCATGTACGACTGGTTTCAAGAAAATGACATTTCAAGTTATTTTAATGCATTTATCAACAAGGGTTATGATGATCTAGAAGTAGTTATTGAAACAATCACTGAAGATGTGCTCTCAGTAGAATTTTCAACAGAGATTCCCCTACTGGGGCAGAGGAAGAAAGTTGCATTAGCAGTTCGAAAGGCAAAGGAAAAGCAGGGGGAAAGTAATATCAATGCAGTCGGGAATAAACCCAAAGCTAGCCAAAGTTTTTTATCTTGGACCGACAAAGCCCTTGGAGAACCATGGAAAAAGAAATCACTGGGCTATATTCCCTCTCCAAAAGGTGAAAGATCAATAGCATATATGGAACTTCTACCCAAGTTTTATAAGGCAGTCTGGCCTTATTGCAATTAAGATAGCTATTTCAGAAACCAGTTCATGACAGAGAGAAGCCGACAATACGAAACCAACATAAAGGTGGGGACACTGCAACAGAAACTGGATTTCAAAAAAGGAGACAATCCAGCTGCATGTGGAAAGTATTTTACCACTTCATATATTCCAAGAGCCAGTGATGTAGCTGTTTTGTCTAAACATTTGGATCAGCTCACTAGCTTGAAAACTGAAGTAAACAAGCTCAAAAAGGAAGTGGTAGCCATGGATCAAGGCCTTTTTGATAAGAGTGGTAGGTGCCTTTCTCCTGGGAAATCTATTCACCATGACTTTAATTCTGCTACAGTGAACAAGCTTAATGAGCTAGGTCAAAACGCTTCAGCATTTATGGCTCAGGTTGATGAAAAGCTAAAGGAGTTACAGAGCACATTCAAGGGCTTGGTCTTCAAGCCATCTACCTCCAAAGCTCGAAAGAGGAAGCAAAACAAAAGGAAAGGTATCAAACGAAAGTTAGCCAGGATGGAGAATGCAAAAACAAGAGTTCTGCAAAAGGTTTTACCAAGGGTCAACCATGACAACGTTGATATAACTATTGGGGTGGAAGACATTTTCATTGCAGCATTAGTAAGTTTATCAAGAAGGGAGGCAAAGGTTTTGCATGAGACACTCAAGTCAGACAACCGATTCTCAGAAGCTGCTAAGGCCTACATTTCTGATTCCTTACCACCATCCTTGGCGTTATCTGATAGTGAGAGCCTAAGTGACTCTCACTCTGATCAGTGACAGACATGGAACTGTCAAATTATTTTAACAACCAGTCTGTGTTAACCAAACTTCTCTTCAACAGTTTCTTTCAGATATTAAAAATTGTTGTTGTTGTCATCTAATAATCAATTCAGTTGGTGCGACTGGGGCTTTTATACATTTCAGTGGCACAAAGTTCATTTGAGTCTCGAATTAGCTTTGTAACGTTAAGGGTTCAAAGATCAGTTTGTATAAACTTGTATAATATTAAAAAAAATTAAGTGACCCCCCCTCTTTGTTGTGTCAAATTTATGCTGACCCTCCCTTTTTGGGCTGGCAAAACGTTAATGACCCTCCCCTGAATTCCTCCGGCCCACCCCCCCTTCTAAAAAATGAATGCTCCCTTATAGAGGAATTGCACGATAGTGTCTCACTGGGAAATTCATCATTCGAATCTCTCTTTTCTCCAGAATCAATATTTTTAGCGTTGCTTGACGGGATAAAAATAACTGCGCGGGATAACTAGGTTTTGCTCAATGAATATTTATCCTTTCTCACTAGCATTTTCTTTGTTTTCAGTCATTACCACCAGACACCGTTATCCAGGCCTTAGCGATGAACAGCAACAAGAAGTCCATGAAATTGTAACACGACAAATACAATTGTACACCAAATATCGTAAGGTTGCAACCGATGAAGGAGTGTCTGGTCTGATTACACATATTCAGGAGACCTACCATTTGGCCTTAAAATCTGTTGGTGTAGGATCTCTGAGGATAACATTTACTTGTCGCTCCCTAGAGAGCCTTGAGCATTTGTGGAGTGACTATCAGTCTGGCCAACTAAATGACATTGCCGAGAGATACCTCGTGACCGATGATATAAAGAAAAAACTGAACTTGGAGACGATCAGGTTGAAGACAACTATAGAAGAGGAAAACTATCAGATTTGCAAGAGGATTTTAATGGAAAAGTCATGTGAGTTTGGAAGCCCTATGTAAGCAGTTGACTGCAGTGTTAACTAAAACAATTGAAAACTGATTCATTGGTTTCTCATTGGCTCAAACCATCCGGCTAATTCCTTATAACCAGGCCGGCGCTTACCATATTTGGAAGTTGTAAGCAATATACTATCGATTCGATGGAATATTACCCAATGTCAGGAGGCCATGACTACTCCGAGTCATAGGCTCCTGCCAATGTACAATCACAACCTCGTTTCAAGGCAGCGCTGCGGCAGCCCAGGTGTTTTAGACTCGTGAACTCAAGAAAATGGCGGAATGTTTTCGCTAGTCCAACACAAAATAGCCGAATTAATGATATTGCTTCTTTTTGAGGAGTATCTGGAAGAAAAAAAACACCTGTTTATTTACATTTATTTTTCCAATTAGTATTCATATGATATGAAGAATCATGCGGATCTCGGATAACAGCCTCCGACATCTACATAATTCTCCTTATCATGTGCAGTCTCATTCAATTCAGTTGTTAAATACGTCAAGAAAATAAATTCAAACAGGATTAACTTTCATAACAAGACTAAGAACGTTATGTTTAGGTGCACAAGTGAAAACTGTGGCCACCAGAATTGTAGCTGAGGTTTTACTCTTCATCTCTGGTGCATTAATTTTATCTGCTGTGTGTATTTTTTGAACTGTACTTTCACCACGGGTGGATTTAATGGATAGGTGTTATTCTATTCTCTGTTATCAGTATTACCAGTCAACAGTGACTTCTCACCTTCAGCTGAATCAGATCAAGAAGCAGCTTTACCACCGATTGACACAAGCTTGGATGATTCTGAGGTAGGCGTGCTTTTACTTGGGAATAAAAATTGAAAAACGACGCCCCTTTTCAGTAGGACACCCTGGAGCATTCTACCTGAATACAGATAAATGTGATTAAAATGCTCGAATGGAGACAATAACACTTTTGTTTGCTTAGGATTCTGTTCGTTGTGGGGCATTGCCAGTCAATTTGTTATTCTTATTCTGTGGTTCCTGAATGAGATTGTGGAGAAGCCGGATTACATAGTTATAATGAAGGGATTTCTGCGAAAGATACGTCCCAACGGACGCAACAACTCCCAACATTGTTGTGCCAACAATGTTGGGAGTTTTTGCGTCCACGTTTACAGTGGTATGGAAACTGATGCAACAACTCCCAACAAATTGCAACTACATTCAACAGGGTGAGCAAACGGACGGAAAATGTAACATCCAACAATGTTGCGTCCGTTTGCACGTGGCTTAAGGTATGCAGTTTGATTAAACTGGCTTTCATCGACTAGATGATAAGTATGCCTGATATTATTACAGTTTGGTTAAAGAATGATTTTTTCACAGGCGTCGAAAGGTTGTCTGCACAGGGGTGCTGTAAGTGAACAGCACGAGACGGTCAAAGAGCTTCTTGAGAGTGGTGAAGATGTGAATCAAAGTGACGAGGTATTAGTCCTCTTCAGTTTATGTAAATCTAATTTTATGCCCGGCCTCTCGCGTTCATCTACATCTACATCTACATTTATTAAGTTGATAAAATCTTGTAAAACATCACAAAAAGTGAATAACAAAATTGGTAGAACAGTTTGAAAAGCCTGTAAATAACAGTCCACTGACCAAATTAAGGGGATTTCGAAAGAGTTTTACAGAGGGATGTTATTCTCGTAGGGCGAGTTATTAGGGGAAAGACAGGAATTCGCCAGTCAAATTGTGTGAGCGATAATTCGATAAAATTAACGTTAAAATCTCCTACTATTTTTACAAAATTTGTTTTAGTCCTCTAGTTATTTTAGCCAAAATTGTACTAAAATATCGGCGTCTTCATTAGGACTATTCAGTCTCTGGGAAACAAATAATTTGTTGTGTCATGCAATGCATTTTCAACAACTCCAGGACAACTACATCGTTGACATTCTTTTACATCCTACTTTAAGATAGCTCCATCAAATAATGCTTATACAATGTACTGTGGGATCTCACGGGCTGCATTCAATGGCTATATTCATTCGTTCGGGAAACAGGAAAAGACGGGCCGCAAGATTCTCGTGCGCCCGCGTTGTTCTCTTGCTCTTACTAGTTTATCTTGAAAGAACCTGAAGGGAGCACTCCTAGTCAGTTTGAGGACCATTTGCACGTTTTCAAATGGCTTAATTCGACCATATCGAAAAGTTGTCGGCATATCGTTAACGCTTCCAAAACTATGATGTCGTGGGATAATAAGCCAGTATGCAATTTATTTTCTTTTGTGCTTCTCAGTGTATATGTCACTTGTTCTTGGTTTTTGTTTCATGAACTTTCAAAGGCTAAAGCGTATACTTAATGCTACTATACAACAAGTCACGTTCTACTAGCCAAACGTAATTCAGTTTCATTACATCCTGCAGGTCGTCCCGTTGCCGCATCCCGATGGGAGACGTTCTTTAGGCGCTCGTTACAGTTTGGCTGATTCTGGCTCAGAGTCAACATCAGAGAGCGAGGAAGAAATCGAGGTAAGTAAAGATCGTTTGGGAAGGTTGCCTTGTAGTAAACTGCGTAAATGTTACTACGTGTATGTTACAAATTGTGTTCCTCTAGAAAAAGTTGAAGTGGAACAAATGCTATATCTATGTCTAATGTTATCACTGGAAACCTCTTGCCGATGAATATTTTACCTCTTTCATAAGTAACAATCAATCTGCTTATGACAGTTGTATTTTTTAGGAGCTTATTTTACCCGATTTAGAAATATTTCGTATCCTTTTAACCCGCGAACTGGATAAAACGTTCAGACTGTTTTTTAGCCCGTTTTGAAAACTAGAATATCCAATGTGAAGCAAAACTGGAAATGGGGAAATACGACTAAACCTTCCTTCATACGTTTGTTTGAATTACAAGTTGAGGTTAAACTAGTGACTTGGGTTTTTTTGTTTTATTGTAAACATGAACCTTAAGTGACCATCGGAGAGAGGGATGTAGGACGCCTGAATTCGAATTTTTGGGATATTTTGTCCTCCTTCAAAATTTGAGTTTTGTTAGGTATATATTTCAAAGAGAAGGCCAACAGTTACAATGATGTACCATTTCGGACCATAATGTAAGCAACTTGTTTTACCTGTAATTTGTGTAACCCAATAGTTTCATAATCATCATCATTACCTATGTTATAATGACCAATTTCTAAACAAGCAAGCTATTATTGAATTTTTATGAGAAATCGTGGATTTAAACTGGCAAGAGAATAAAAGGTGATATGGAATAGGGTTTTTACCGGTTAATCAAACACGTGGTACAAAGTAGCCTTTCGTTCGGCCTGCTACGAGAAGTAGGATGTAGAAGTACACGCAAAGTGGTTTTCCATGTGCACTTCCCTATTTACCCTTGCTCCTTCACGTGTGGGAAAAGTAAGTCCTTATAATTATATACCTTAAATTATACTAGAAAAGTTTGTGAAAGTTCCTTGTTTGTTTTTTATTTCACTTAGGCTATCTCGTGGGTCATGTTTTGATCTTCTGTCGACGATACTTGGTTTTGAAACTTCACCCTCACAAAGCCTAGTGCGTATACTGAGTATTTTAAATTCACGCTTTCGCATGAAACTAGAATTAATTTCATTTTCCAGATGATGTGGACTCCAGTGCGAAGAAGGCGTTTCAGAGTTTACCACATTTCAACTGTCTCAGAATCAGTGAGAAAGAGGGAGGAGAAGAAAGTGGTGAGTTAAGGCTGTATTGGGAAGTTTAGACTGTATTTTAGCACTTTAGAAGTTGGTACGTGTCTGTTGCAACAAAGCAAATGTCGCTAAGGCTTAAGCAAAATTTAACATGGTGAAACAAAACCTTGGTTCACAGTTTGGGTGTAAAAAATACTTACTGGTAATTAGATGCAAAGTGGTGTTTCATTCAATTTGCACAATTCAATTGCAGTCGTTATTCATTGTTTAAAACTAGATTTGAGTTTTTAGCATCATGAATACACATGGTGGAACGCAAACTTAATTTTTTGTATATATAATCTGCTTCAAACCAAACAAAGCTACCAAGCTAGGGGAGCAATATTAGAAAATATTGTGGTGGTAGAATTTTTTTTTGATCAGTAAGTACTCAAAAGATCAATTTTCTTTACCCTTTGAATTTCATGTGATCGAGGATCATGCTTCAGTTGTTATCCTTACCTTCGCTAAGGACATCTACAATAAACCAGAGGGCTACCGAAATAGCCTCGTAAAACTTTTTCGGGCATGTAATGTTTCAAAATTATTGCAGTAATAAACACAGGTTTGGTACGAGGTTTCTTTCATCGCAGGGCTATGCTGAACTTTAGTTCAGCTATGCACAACTTCAGCCTCCTGAACTTTCTTTGATATAGATGCAAGGATTGACGGGTTATTTACATGAGGAAACTCGCACCGGCGCGAGTTTCATACCGGGAGGACTTCTTGATTTCGTATCGCGTTTCGTGTTTGCATGTTTTTTTTCCTCGTCCGATGACCAACACGACGACGTCATCCTGAATTTGTTACAGTAAATATGCGTAGCTGCAGACCACGTGAGTAAAAACGTTCTATTTATTACACCCTACAGATTGCGCGTTCGCCGCGTTCTGAGCGAACAAGGTCTTTCAGTGCTCGCTACAGTCCAGCTGATTCTGGTTCAGAATCAATGTCAGAGACGGAGGAAGAAAGCAAGGTAAGGTAACAATGTTTTGGCAAGGTTGCATAAATTATACTCTTAGAACAAAATAAAATGTTAAGTGATTGTCATATTCCATTTGAACTGTCGTATTGTAATTGCAATGAAATCGCTACTGTCGCTGCCTCAAGCCGACTAATTTTTCTGCCAAAGAGTAACAGTCCATATATTGAATTACGGAAGGACTCTCGCCAAACCGTCCGTTGAATTATGAAATCGTGTGGCAGTCGGGGACTCTCAAAAACAGAAATGGAAAGAAGCCTGCCAACAATTTTTCTATCAACATCGGTTTTACGATGCATTTTCGCTTTTTAGTTAATAATAGTGTTAACAATC